CGGGTATTATGTATTTACCACTTATGTAAAACCCACGTCCGAGTTTGTGTTACTGACGACAGACACAAAATCAGGGCGAACGGGAATTCGAACCGACGATCATAAGGTTCTGATACATCTAAGGTGGTCAACTTTGCAGTGTAAATTAAGATTCGACCAGGTGAGCTAACAAGAATAAAAGACAATCGATTTAACATGGTTGACGTAAACAGGTCTGTCCAGAAACGAATATGTCGTGCTGCTGCAGGTAACAGACTTATTTTATATTTTGATAATTGGTAAAGTGTTACATCATCGCAACATGTATTTCTCTTTAAATTGTATCTTTTTATCAGATATTAGGTCAGGTGCGATCGAGTTGATGATAAGGAATACTTTGTGACATCTCTCGTCAGATGCATATCGTTAAGGTACGATTTTGTTTCATGCATATTGACGGGGTACTTATGGAAGCGTTACGAAACACGAAACTTTTCATGTGAGCAGGGTTGTGCGGACCGGAGAGAATGTGGGTTGTGTGAAGCGGGGGAATAGGATGGTGTGGAGTGGGGTAGGATTGTGTAGAGAGTCGTGAATGCATGGGTCTTGTGTGGAGAGGAGAGTATGGTTGTTGTGTAGAGAGTGGGTTGTGTGGAGCGGGCAAATGGGATGTTGTGAAGTAGGGTGCCTGGTGTGTGTGTGGAGAGTGGTGAATGGGTCTTGTGTGAAGAGGAGTGAATGTGGGTTGAATGAAGTACGGTGCATGGGTATTTTATGGAGTGGTGTGTATAGGGGTGTAGGGTGTGGGGCGGAGTGTAGGAGAGTCATGTGGAATGGGGTATGTGTGGAGTGGAGTGTATGAGGGTTACGTGAAACGGGGAGCGGGATGTATGGGGGTTGTGTGGAGTGGAGCGTATGGGGGTGGTATGGGGAGCAGTGAATAGGGGTTATGTTTAGTGGGGTGTATTTGGCTTGCGTGGCGTGTGCTGAATGTGGGTTGTGTGGAGTGAGGTTTTACGGGGTTGTGTGGAGCAGTATGTATGGGGATTTAAGAGACTGTGGTGTGGGGTTTATGGTATTGTGTGGAGTGGAGGTTGTATGGCGAGCGGTAAATGGAGGTTTTGTTTAGAGGGGTGTATTCGGGTGTGTAAAGGAGGGTATTTAGGTTGTGTTCGGTGGGGTTTGGGGGGTTGTTTGATGTGTGGTAAATGTGGGTTGTGTGGAGTGGGGTGTATGAGGGTTGTAAGGAGCGGGGCGTAAGGGGTTTGTGTGGAGTGGGATGCATGTGGTTTGTGTGGAGAGGTGTGTATGGGGGTTACAAGGATCGGGGTGCATGTGGTTTGTGTGGAGTGGGATGCATGTGGTTTTTGTGGTGTTGGTTGTGTTGCATTGAGCGTATGGGGGTTGTGTTCCATGGTGTGTATGAGGGTTGTAAGGAGTGGGGTGCATGGGGTTTGTGTGGAGAGGTGTGTATGGGGGTTACAGGGATCGGGGTGCATGTGGTTTGTGTGGAGAGGGATGCATGTGGTTTTTGTGGTGTTGGTTGTGTTGCATTGAGCGTATGGGGGTTGTGTTCCATGGTGTGTATGAGGGTTGTAAGGAGCGGGGTGTATGGGGTTTGTGTGGAGTGGGGTGCATGTGGTTTGTGTGGAGAGGTGTGTATGGGGGTTACTGGGATAGGGGTGCATGTGGTTTGTGTGGAGTGGGATGCATGTGGTTTTGTGGTGTTGGTTTGTGTTGCATTGAGCGTATGGGGGGTTGTGTTCCATGGTGTGTATGAGGGTTGTAAGGAGCGGGGTGTATGGGGTTTGTGTGGAGTGGGGTGCATGTGGTTTGTGTGGAGAGGTGTGTATGGGGGTTACTGGGATAGGGGTGCATGTGTTTTGTGTGGAGTGGGATGCATGTGGTTTTTGTGGTGTTGGTTGTGTTGCATTGAGCGTATGGGGGTTGTGTTGCATGGTGTGTATGGGGGTTGTAAGGAGTGGGGTGCATGGGGTTTGTGTGGAGAGGTGTGTATGGGGGTTACAGGGATCGGGGTGCATGTGGTTTGTGTGGAGAGGGGTGTATGGGAGTTATAAGGGGTCGGGTGCATGGGGTATGTGTGGAGTAGGGTGTATGGGGGTTATCAGGAGTGGGGTGCACAGGGTTTGTGTGGTGTAGGGTGTATGGGGGTTGTAAGGAGTGGGGTGCATGGGGTTTGTGCATGGGGTATGTGTGGAGTAGGGTGTATGGGGGTTGTAAGGAGCGGGCTGCAAGGAGGTTGTGTGGGGTGAATGAGAGTTGTAAGGAGTGGGGTGCACAGGGTTTGTGTGGACAGTGGAGTAGGATGTATGGGGGCTGTAAGGAGAGGGCTGCAAGGAGGTTGTGTGGGGTGAATGAGAGTTGTAAGGTGTGGGGTTCATAGGGTTTGTGTGGAGTAGGGTGTATGGGGTTTGTGTGGAGTGCTGTGTATGGGGGATTTCACGGAGCGGGGAGCATGAGGTTTGTGAGAAATTGGGTATATGGGGGTTGTAAGGAGCGGGGTGCTTGGGGTTTGTGTGGATTGATTTGTATGGGGTTTTAAGGAGTGGGGTGCATGGGGTTTGTGTGGAGTTAGGTGTATGGGGGTTATAGGGAGTCGGGTGCATGGGGTTTAGTGGAGTGGGGTGAATGAGGGTTGTAAGGAGTGGAGTTCCCCGGGTTTGTCTGGAGTAGTGTACTTGGGGTTTGTGTGGATTGATTTGTATGGGGGTTTTAAGGAGTTGGGCACATGGGGGTTGTGTTGGAATGTATGGGGGCTGTGTGGAGTGGGTTGTGTGGAGTGGAGCGTATGGGAGTTGCGTGGAGTGGAGTGTTTGGAGGTTGTGTTGCCTGGGCTGTGTTGCATCAGGGAGACTATATAACAGGGAGTGGTTACTCCTCGAAAAGCCCCTTAGCGTATGCCTCGGCTCGTCACGTGACCAGTGTAGACAATATGACGGCAGCGTAGTTTTTAAGATTGAGCCCGGTTTAGTTTCAACAGCTGATTACATTCGCTGAGTGTTGTGACAACTAAAAACCTACATGAAGAAGATAAGTTACCTATTCTGACACTTCATTTTAAGTCAAATAATTGTTATTAGTGTCAGTATTAGTACAGTAGATTTGTAGTAAAGTTTCAATTAGTTTTTATTAGGGGAATATACCATCAGGTGAAATGTGTTTGCAAGTAATAGTGATAGTTTTATAATTTAAAAATATTTGTTAGGGTGTATTTGAGGCGCGTGAAAAATATGACATATCGCCGAACTGTTCTGATCTGCCATTGATGCTTGTGATGCTTGAGTGTTATATAGTTCTAAAACTCCTTTCTTTCTTTCTTGTTGATCTTAGTATTTGACAAAACTGGAAAGGTGTTTACAACGCTTTATGATAGTTCTAAACTTTCTGATTTTGAGGGGTGTGTGACAGTGTCAGTTAACATTCTGTCAATGTCCGTGCCATTCCACACATGCAATAAGATATTTGAATTAATTACTAATGTACAAAATGTCTCAAAGACAGCTGATGTTAACACATGTGTTCTAGCGATAGTTTTGCGTTCTTTAACATGTTTGGGGAGGGATGGCCGTGGTGTATCATTTATTCTTTCATTCATTCACATATGTATTTTTTTCTTTTGTTCTTTTTCTTTCATTCATTCATATATAATTCAGTCATTCATTGTAAAATTCCGACTGATACAATAAACTGGCTGAAGTACTGTTAAACGCAGCCGAAGTTGCGCTGGGAACGAACCAAGTCGCTGTGTGCGTTGGAGCATGACGAGGCACACGCTAATTAGTACAAATGGTAAAAAAAGCAAGCCGGTGACCTATCCCTGGTCGCATGGCTGACTGAGTTTGGTTTTACGCCGCTTTTAGCAATATTCCAGTAACATCACGGCGGGGAACACCAGAAATGGGTTTCACACATTGTACCCATGTGGGGGTTCGAACCCGGGTCTTCGGCGTGACGAGCCAACGCTTTAACCACTCGGCTACTCCTTTGCCCCCTGGTTGCATGGAGTATATAGGGGTTGTGTGGAGAGGTATGTTTGGAGGTTGTGTTGTGTGGGCTGTGTTGCGTGGAGCGTATGGGGGTTGTGTGGAGTGGAGTGTTTGGAGGTTGTGTTGCCTGGGCTGTGTTGCGTGGAGCGTATGGGGGTTGTGTGGAGTGGAGTGTTTGGAGGTTGTGATGCCTGGGCTGTGTTGCGTGGAGTGCATGGGGGTTGTGTGGAGTGGAGTGTTTGGAGGTTGTTTTGTGTGGGCTGTCTGGGTTGTGAGAGAGAGGGGTAGAAGGGAAGATGAGTTGGAGAGATAGTGCTGAAAATAGTAATGTATTCTATCATCACATTGTATAACGCAAGCTCACACACACAAACGCACACAAAAGAAGGGGATGAAAGAAGAAAGAACGGATCAGAAAGAATGTGCCATAGCGTCATACTAATCACCTAGTGTCTTCACTGGATACTGCGCAGAAACCAATAATGTAAACATATCAGTCACATGAACACAGCTGTACACAACAGTAAACAGGTTCAAGTATATATGGGTCAATATAGACATGGTAATTTGCACATGGGTCAATAAAACATAGATCATAGATCCACAAATAATAAAAGTGCATATACACTTATGTTCCCGAGTGAGTAGATCTGTTTAGAATGTTCGTCACACTCTGAAATGTGTGCCAGTTATATGACAACGTTCTGTGAGGGACTGAGTCTAGTCGTGTACAGGAGGTTGACAGCGTGAACAAAACTCGCTCATTACAACCCAGACGATGAGACGCACCCGTCACACTCTGATTCCCAAACAGATTAAATATTATATATTCTCCAGTATGCTCCACTACAATGACAGAGTACATCTCGGACATGCGCAGTTGTGTTGTTTTGGATGTTACTGTCTGTGACCGTATTATCATGAAAGACCTACATTTCGAAGCAGACGACGCAAATCTGGAAAGGCGGATAACAGGAAGTGAATCGATTCGCGCATGCGTTGTGTGCAGCAAAACAAAAATGGCGTTGAGATATTTTGCTGAATGTAAACACTTGCTGATATAGCATCATAGCCAGAGGAATCTGCGTCCTGATAGAATAAATGACCGTCAGAAAGTTACTCTAACTGTAATTCATCATGCTCGACCTAGAGGTAGTACCAGAAAGATCTCTAGGAAACGAGCAATGGGAGTTCGTTCTTGGTAAGTTGAGTCGTTGATCTAACCTATTTATGCACATAACGTCATCAGAAGCACTGTAATACACAATCATCAAAATCTATATTTTAAACAAATGTGCTGTACATATGTAGTGTCACAGTAATTAACACTGGAGTGGAACTAAGCTGTTTTAATTGAAAATGTTCTGTCATAGAACAAGGAGGACTATAGGTGTTGCCATTGAACCAGTTGAATGTAAACAATGTTTGCACCAATCAGCTGATTTACTGGGACAGTTGACGAACAGGACACTTGTCGTCAAAATAAGTCGAATGAAAATTGTGCGCACATTTGGCAAATGTATATATTTGCATTGTCATATGCATGTAGTTGTAAATATTCATAGATACTGCTGACCTGTCTCAAATTATTTGACCTAGTTATTTGTTATGAAATGACATATTATGCTCCTAAAAACAAATGGTTTGAATGTTGGATACAGCTCTCTTTGTCTGCTCTGTTTAAACTGCCAATAAATTTCCCAGAATCAAATTAATTGGGAACTGTGAGGATACACATATTTATACAGAACTATATTAGGGACATATTGAGAATAAACTTAGTCAGCTGTCATCCGTTTATCTGCAGAAGACATGTTTCTGAGTTTGTATAAGAATCCTTCAGCCCCTTCAACCAAGATGTATTTGATCCATTCTCTTACCTGCTTAGTATTTAGAAATAAATAAAGCCAATCACTTTATAATATACGTGTCCAAATGATGGAAGAAGCAGAGAAGAGATGCAATACACTTCTTATCTCAGAAATTTTCAGTTTGAGATCTGTGTAGTCAATGGTCATCATGAGCTAACATTGATTAACATAGCATGAAAAAAAATATGCTGTAATGTTGTGGAATGAGAATGGAAGGTATAACTATTTTAGTATTTTAGTTATACTACAATTTGTTTTCATTCTTTTAACAGTCATACTTCAGCAATGCTCCAGTGACAGTTACATAATTAGCAATTAATTAACCCATGTATGATCTGCTGGAGCAATCAGCTAGACTGATTGTTCATGAGAACTTATTGAAGGTAATTAGACGAGCTGATATACATTAGAGCTGTGTATTCGTGGTGATCCGATTAATTGAAATAATCGAAGATTGGTCGCAGTGACTAAACGACCAAGCAATCGATCATGTTTTCTCACAATCGAACACAAACAATTCTGGAACACTTGTTTTCATCAACAATATTTTTCACAAGGTTGGTTTTGTCTGTTACATTTCATAAGCACTATAAGCTCGTTCCAAGTCATGATTAAATTTATCTTAAAGACACCAAGAAATTTATGTTCCTAACATACTAGTCATCCTTTAAAGATGTGAAATTTTGCCCCAAAAACCAAATAACTACATGTTTTTTTCCTTATTTTTTTGTGCATTAACAAATTCATAAATGACGCTAACCAATTATTTTTGATGATTGATTGGTGGTAATCAACCAATCATCAATTATGAGATTTTAACCAATTCCCAACACTACTGGGTATCATGGCCTAAGTGGCGAGACCATATTTCCTGACACCAGTTTAATGAGACAAGACGATGTGTCATGAAAGTATTGGCAAGGAACCTGCGAGATGATTATTATGATATAATGGTGGTGCTACGATACGTATCCTGATACTTTACAATTTCAAAAAACAGAACAGATATGATACGTTAGATAAAATGACCGAAACTTTATTTGTTACACAGCAGAACTTGTTTTACATTCACACACACTTAAAAAGTTGCTGATCTAATAAAATTTCAGCATTTAATGCTTAAGAAAGTACAGTCAAACATATTCAGTATATCTTGATATAATATAAATAAATCTGAAACTGAAGTTTCCCTGTGGAAGTTGTGTTTCTACACCAATGCTTTCACAAACAAATCAGTGTAATATATATCAGAATTGACAGTCACAGAAAAAACCCTCTAAAGCCTGCTTTCTAAATTCATGTAGCGAAGACAACAGATACAAACAAATTCCTATTTTCTACTTACTTGTAGTTTTTTTGTAAATTATGTAAGTAGTTATCAGCCTATATCATCTCTTGTGGCGATACATTGATGTATCATGGACCCTCACGATATAAATATCCTGATATATTGCCTAAATGTGTTCTGTATCGATGTACTTGTATACTATCGATGAATCGTTACACCTAAGATATATGTTAAATGTTAATCATGTAAATGGTGAACCTAATAAATATGCATTCAATGTACTGGTATATCATGTGTGTGCTAAACTTGTAACACTATTCACTTTGGTAGGGCATGGGTGCTTTTACGTAAGTTTGCAAGACAGTGAAAATACTATTTACTATCATTTGTTGATTAAAAGTTTGTGATAGTCATTTCTGTACATATATATTGCTGTCAAGGACATAAGAAAAACAACAGCTTGAAACCTGGTTTGATAACTGTGTTTTTGAAATTATAATCATTGAACAGTTATTGTGCTTTATGGATAAACGATATAAATTTTAGGATTTATTAAAACTGGAACAGTCATTCAAGGCCACGACTCAAAACTGAGCCCTACATAAAGTGATACAAATATGTTGTATGTCCCAATACACTGCCAAACCTAAATGTTAATAATGTTGAGAGATTGAATATCATAGCAAACAAAGTAATTGATCTGTAAGAACTCAGTAAATAGAAGTAAGGTTTACAATGTTTTCAGTAAGATTTGCTCCACATACTGACATGGCATCTTTTGTCATTAGTTACAGCAAACAGATTCATTCGAAATCATTATTAGATGAAAACATCTTTTTAGAACTACCTTAGTAAGTGAGTCACAGTGACAGGACATTGTAATACATTTTCATAAAATACAGAATGTCAAAATGGCTGATAGCACTTATACAAAGCGAAAGATTTTTAAAGATGTTAAATAATCTGGCAATTACAAGTACTGACCATTATTTATCAATAGGCTGATCACATAAAGGTGTTAGTAAAGACATGTCAAGTAGATACTGACATAAATACATAGACTGCTTTATACTGTCACCGTCAGTTGAGATATGCATCAAGTCAATAGTTAAAATGTCTAAATGTACATTTTGTGGGATTAGTTGTAGTTAGAATAATCCTGAATGGGATCGTACAACCCTTTGACCTTTCCCAGTGTAAACATAACTCCAGATTAAAGATTATCACAGTCAACACTGCATATATTTGTGCCATGGGATTCCAAGGGTTTTTCCCAGCTTGTTTTCAAGATTACAGTCTCCTGAAAAATGTATGAAAGTCAAAATGCACTGGTCTTACAATGATGAAGGTCAGTTTTGTGGTCATGTGACTGACCCCTGTCAAGTTGTATATATTGTGTAAGTTTCATATCACAAACATTACAGGATTATTAACTATCAACATACACTGTAGGTGTTATTAGTTCATTCTGTCTAACTTTGAACAACAGAAATTAAAATGATAAAATAGTCAAAGCAGTTTCACATAGGCGGTAGTAAAATGATAATTTCAAAAGATATTTTAACAAGAGTAGTTTGCAAACAATGATGAGCAGTATGTCTGTGGCATAATAGGATCACTTCAGGTCACTTTGGTCATAGTGGGAATAGTCACAATGGGAGTAAACCTGCTCATCTTCATCGTAAAAATGACATCAGTTAGAGGATTTATCATGGACAAAACATGACATTTAATACGTTTGATATGGCTGTGGCTACAAAACACTTTCAACTGTCCATTGGGGTTTGCTTAATCTATGTTTCACTCTAATTTGGGAAGCGTTGCTCAGAACTTCCATGTATATGTTCTCTGTCTCATGTGTAGGAAGATCTTGACCCTAACAGTATGTGTACATTTACTAATGGATATATGTATAGAGACTGTGTCTTTGTTGCCAGGAACATAACCTGGAATGCTAATACAAACCCTAGGGACTTAAACTATTGGCTTGGGTCTTTAGGGATTCCGTTGGAGGAAAAGTTTTCTGGAATCATAGTAGGATGCATCTAAGATGGGGATGAGCAATCATAGGGATGTATTGTCAACAACAGTAGATGTACAGGAATACATACATACTACAGGTATCTGTGTTGGGAACGGTGAGAGCTGCAGTGGCTGACAGACACTGACTGTACATGCAGATCCTATTATATACATACCAAAGTAAATATTACCATGTACAAATCAGCATGGTTTATCGGCGCCATTCATGGACATGGATATGTGGGACATAACAATGTCAGAGATAAATAGTTTTCTGTGTACATTTTAGGCTAAACAATTCAAACAATAATGAATATTGTTTATGTTATTTTCACCAAATACACTGATAGTGATATGTTTTGGTTAAACATTTTTTTGCAGTTACCATGGTTTTACCATGCAGTTGTACTACAAAGTGTGACTGGTTCCTTAGTCTGTGTCCATTAGGGAAGACCAGCTCCCAGCTGTAATCTGACATGTTGTGACTGTACCCTAACAGTGTGGATCACTGGGCAGTTCTGGATCACTTGTTTGTGTGTTCAGAGCTCAGTTACTTTACTGGGCCTTAGTCCACAAAGCTGTCTTCACACTCAGATTAGTGTAAATCCTATACTTTAACATGAACTTGTGATCATCCTAGCTTAAAGGTGCTTCTGTGAAAGATGGCCCAAGTCACAGCAAAGGGTAATGTATCACTATAATGGGGATAGAGTTGGCAGTATGGTATTTCAGTGCATTAGATATGTAATGAGCACCAATGGTTTACAGGATAGGTATGTGTATGGCTGCGACCTCAAAACAAAGAATTCAGTTGGCTACTGTTGTCAATTGTCAGGCTACATTAAGGCTTCATTCTCATCAAAAGTCCTGTGTTGGAAGTTAATTTTGGATGCTGTGGTATTTAAGCCTAGAGATCACTAAGACTAGTCATTACATGATGGTTACAACAGGGACCTAGATTTTTGTCCACTACAAGATAGGAATACAACACTGAACAGCTACTACACAGCTGCTGCTGCAGTGTCATTTCCTTATCAGATCCTTTCTTAAGTACTCAATAAATTTATCATAATGTCGCATCATTCATTCACATAATTAGTCCACTCATCAACTTCACTCCTTATCTTGATTATTGATTAACTCACATTTTGTATGGTAATGCTACACAGTAATATGTGGCCATGAGCTTGACCGCTTCAAACATCGTTTGTTGTCAAAAAAGAAACTGAAGGAAGCCGATTGTTGTGACCGTCACTGAAGTATGCGTTCACCATGGTGAACATCTTTTGGGGAAACAGCTATGCTGATATTTTGTATGGTAAATTAACAACAATGGGAATCACATTGTCAATAAATATGTTGCAGTTAAAAATATCACTTTTTCAACATTTGTTATGAATTTGCCTTGTGTACAGTACAACCAGAAATTAATGAGAATTTAAGATTGTAATTATTTTTTTTTTTCACTCATTACTCACGTATTAAATGTGAATATTAGCAGAACATAACTCCAGATTCAAAGACAGGTGAACAGTTAGTATTTTGTCAAGTCACCATGGGCAGCAATGCAGGCTTCAATGCGGCGGGGCATGCTACTGATCAAAGAAGTTAGAAAGTCGTGGTCCATGCTGTCCCAACATCGGACCACCTCTTCTTTCATTTCAGCAATATTTGTCAGATTTTTCTTATTGACACTTTCCTTCATAAGTCCCCAAACATTTTCTATTGGATTTAGGTTAGGGCTATAGCTTGGCCAATCTAATAATGTCATATTTTGGGTCCAAAACCAGTCCTGTGAATGCTTTGAACGATGTTTTGGGTCGTTGTCCTGTGGAAAATCCAAACAAATTCCATAGAACACATGAGCAGATGGAAGTAAATGTCCCTCAAGAATATCTGTGTACCGCTCACTGTTCATATTCCCTTCAAATACCCAGAGGGGCGTTGCCCCAAACACAGATATGCCACCCCACACGTTAAATTTCGGACGGTACTTTGGGGGCTGATACAAAGGTTTTTCCGTTTGTTTAGTCCAGAATTTCAGTGTTTTAGGAAACAGCCACACAGAACTTTCATCTGAGAAAATCACATTGTCCCAGTTAAAATTTCTATGCTGTAAGCACCAGTTCAACCTTCACTCCTTTTTGTTCAGGTTTCATGATTGGTGATGGAATTCCTCGACTTTTCTGCCAACCCATTGCATGCAGCTCAGTTCTAATTGTCTCCTTACAGACAGCCACAGTTCCTCTATCAATCATATCCGGCCTTAAGTTTTCTAAACTCCTTCGTTTGTTTTTAGAAACAAGAATACCAAGCCGCCTCCTGTCACCGACAGTCAATTTTCTGGGCCCACCTGCGTCTCCCTGGTGCAGAATGCCATATCCATTTGCAATATTTTTCAAAACATGATAAACAGTGGACAAAGGGATGCCTGTTCTACTTAAAATCACTTTAGCTGATCTGATGTCCTTGTTATAATACTCTAAAACAGTGTTTCCGTTCTCCGGTATATACCTGAAAATCACCGGTAAAATTTGCTGGGGACCGGTAAATTGAAAGCCAGCCGGACACTGAGTCCGGTAAATAATCATGTATTAAAATAAAAAAATCATGGGTAAGCGAAATGACAGTCTTGGCTGTGCTTTCATGGTCGCAAAAATTCTTATGTTTCGGAAATACCCAGGCTAAAATAACTTTAAAATGAGTACTTACAGTATGGCAATAAGATACGACCGACAAATTTCATTCATGAACGGTAAAATTTTAGGTCGCCTGACACAGTGTCCGATAAATAATTAAGTCAGCGGAAACACTGTAAAATCAACTTCCTCTCCTCTAAATCATCCATACTCAGGATCACTGAAAATGTCGTCTGCTAGCAAGTAAACAAAGGGGGATAACTCTTCACAAACTAATGACAAAGGATTAACAGAGTGGTCTCTCTTGAATGAAACCAAGCACTTGATAGCTGGTCAAGGTTGTTTATACTAGAAATCCAATTAAATATATTCCTAAAATTCTCAATAATTTCTGGTCATACTATATTTAGCTACAGCAACAATGCAAACAGCATTAAGAGAAAAGAAAATTGCAGTGGCTTTTTAGGATGTGATCAAATCAGTGTGGATATTTTTGTTTTTGAGAAATACAGCTTCCGTGCAAAGTCATAATTTTTGGGGCCATTAGGTATTATATTATAGTTTTTAGACTCCTTATCCTTTATGAAGTAGGATTTTAATTTTCAAAAATTATAAAAATTATTGATATATATATACACAAACTCAATGCTTTGTAATAGGGAATGTAATCATAGCTAGATGCTGAAATAATCTCTATTGATAGAATGTTTATGTGTGATAAGGTACAAAATAATGATAATTTACAATCACTTATAGACTGAAAGGACACATTGACAAGCACTTTAACCTCAGTCTCAGATATAGAGAAGACATCATTTAAATGTCAAGACAAGAGGGTATTGTCTCATCATCTGTCCACCAGAGTTGGAAATCAAGTCATTCCAGAAATGTAATGGTAGACATTTTGAAGAATTCACCAAAGGTGACATGTTACCTGTTAACGTGGTGCATGATACTATCCCAGTTTCACCTCACCTCACCATGATACTATCCCATCCTAGGAACTTTACATTCAGTTTTCACCCCTTCTTACTCACTTGTACTTACTTTAGTTTAAATGATCGGATGGTCAGGTTTGGTGACTTAGTTGACAGCGATGTCAGGCACCAACTCGGGGATCTTTTCTGATGATAGTTATCATAAGATTAATTGTCGGGTACATGCTGCCATTGTATGGCAGGAGGTTCCATGGGTGCAGCACTAGGCAACAAACAAACGTTTATTGTGTCATGAAAGCTTTGTGTTTTCCAGTTGGAAACACATATGATCGATACATTAAATTCACATTTTTGGCTTTTGCCTTTCACATTTACTTATTCTCTGTTGTTGTAAATTAAGTATTTTAGCAAAGTTTGGGGAACTGAACCTGGACTTAGATGTCACCAGAGGATATATTTTATTAAATAGGAGCAGTATATCTACATAATATCCTGACTGATAGTTTTACATACTTAAAGTACTAATTACTGCAAGAATTGTTTAAAATCTTTACAAAAAAGCATTGATATATTACAAATAATATTAGGTTCCAAAGAAGGAGGTGTGTGTGAAGTATCAGACTCTGCTGTGTTACATTTGTATGGCATTCTCTAGGTTTCTGACTTCAGGGTGAATGAGTGAGTGAATATGTAATCCACAGTTGGAGATATTTTTCCTCCATCACTATGTCCTGATTGGAACCTTGACAAGGCAATGTAGAGGTCAATCATATATGTAGGCCCCCAGTCAGCATCGTTGTGATAAACATTTTATGGGCTCTAACGACAATGACAGGGGATTTTTTACCATGCCATCCTTATAGTGTCATGCTTTGAAACTGGAAATGTGTTGTTCTTTAACTAGGGCAAGTTTCTCTTTTCCAGAAAGTGATCTTTCAATTATGATTTTGCAGAGGAGTATTGACTTATTCTTCTATCCCCTGGAGCATTCAGTGCGTGAATGGAAAATATTTTTCAGGAAATGTATTTGGTGATAAATCATGATTTTATGTTAAGATACACTTTTTACATATGGTTGTTTCCTTCATGTCTTCATTTAGAATTCTTGCCATTTTAATGTCTGAACATGTGGAAATGTTCTAAGTAGTGTCTTTACATTATTGTTACCTAAGGGAAATATTGATCAATTTCTTCAGTGCAAACTGGTCCTGCTACTTTACTGAGCATACAAGACGACTTGGTTGTTTTAGATGAGCTGATGCATCATACAGAAGACTAGAGCCTGGTGTCTGGTTAGGGGCAGAGATCTAATTACGTCGTTGTGTGATGCCGTCTCTCTATTGATCATAGACTGTCATTGATCTCAGTCACTGCTGTATGACATGGAACATAGGACTTTGCTGCAATGTCAGAGAAAACCCTTAGAAATCATTGCTGTGGAATGTTAGTGGAGTCTTTGGTTGGTTACATTGCTTGAACACTTCATGTTGATTGCTGATGTGCAGGAATTAACTTTCTGCTCCAGTAATCCTCATGATAATAACATCAACAGAAATGCAAATCTATGAGATATTCTTGTTATCAAGTATTACTTCTGTTAGAGCACTGGAATGTGCACCATGTCATTTTATTGCCAATTTTACATATCTGGGTCATAGTGTCAATGTGGAAGCTGTTTCCTTTTGACTCTGTGAGCTGTGGGTCGTGGTGTCAGTGTTGCAGCAGGGTTTCTGACTCCCTGAGCTGTGGGTCATAGTGTTAGTGTTGAATCACGGTTTGTGACTCCCTGAGCTGTGTGTCATGGTGTTAGTGTTGAATCACGGTTTGTGACTCCCTGAGCTGTGTGTCATGGTGTTAGTGTTGAATCACGGTTTGTGACTCCCTGAGCTGTGTGTCTTGGTGTTAGTGTTGAATCACGGTTTGTGACTCTCTGAGGTGTGTGTCATAGTGTTAGTGTTGAATCACGGTTTGTGACTCCCTGAGCTGTGTGTCATGGTGTTAGTGTTGAATCACGGTTTGTGACTCCCTGAGCTGTGGGTCATGGTGTTAGTGTTGAATCACGGTTTGTGACTCCCTGAGCTGTGTGTCATGGTGTTAGTGTTGAATCACGGTTTGTGACTCCCTGAGCTGTGTGTCATGGTGTCAGTGTTGAATCACGGTTTGTGACTCCCAGAGCTGTGTGTCATGGTGTTAATGTTGAATCACGGTTTGTGAACACCTGAGCTGTGGGTCATAGTGTCAGTGTTGAATCACGGTTTGTGACTCCCTGAGCTGTGTGTCATGGTGTTAGTGTTGAAGAAGGGCTTGTGACTCCCTGAGCTGTGTGTCATGGTGTCAGTGTTGAATCACGGTTTGTGACTCCCTGAGCTGTGTGTCATCGTGTCATTGTTGAATCACGGTTTGTGAACACCTGATCTGTGGGTCATAGTGTCAGTGTTGAATCACGGTTTGTGACTCCCTGAGCTGTGGATCATGGTGTTAGTGTTGAAGCACGGTTTGTGTCTCCCTGAGCTATGGGTCATGGTGTTAGTGTTGAATCACGGTTTGTGACTCCCTGAGCTGTGTGTCTTGGTGTTAGTGTTGAATCACGGTTTGTGACTCTCTGAGGTGTGTGTCATAGTGTTAGTGTTGAATCACGGTTTGTGACTCCCCTGAGCTGTGTGTCTTGGTGTTAGTGTTGAATCACGGTTTGTGACTCCCTGAGCTGTGGGTCATGGTGTTAGTGTTAAATCACGGTTTGTGACTCCCTGAGCTGTGTGTCATGGTCACTTAGTGTTGAATCACGGTTTGTGACTCCGTGAGCTGTGTGTCATGGTGTCAGTGTTGAATCACGGTTTGTGACTCCTGAGCTGTGTGTCATGGTCACTTAGTGTTGAATCACGGTTTGTGACTCCCAGAGCTGTGTGTCATGGTGTTAGTGTTGAATCACGGTTTGTGAACACCTGAGCTGTGGGTCATAGTGTCAGTGTTGAATCACGGTTTGTGACTCCCTGAGCTGTGTGTCATGGTGTTAGTGTTGAAGAAGGGCTTGTGACTCCCTGAGCTGTGTGTCATGGTGTCAGTGTTGAATCACGGTTTGTGACTCCCTGAGCTGTGTGTCATCGTGTCATTGTTGAATCACTGTTTGTGAACACCTGAGCTGTGGGTCATAGTGTCAGTGTTGAATCACGGTTTGTGACTCCCTGAGCTGTGGATCATGGTGTTAGTGTTGAAGCACGGTTTGTGTCTCCCTGAGCTATGGGTCATGGTGTTAGTGTTGAAGCACGGTTTGTGACTCCCTGAGCTGTGGGTCATGGTGTCAGTGTTGAATCACGGTTTGTGTCTCCGTGAGCTGTGGGTCATTGTGTTAGTGTTGAATCACGGTTTGTGACTCCGTGAGCTGTGTGTCATGGTCACTTAGTGTTGAATCACAGTTTGTGACTCCTTGAGCTGTGTGTCATGGTGTTTAGTGTTGTGAAGCTGTGTGTCATGGTCACTTAGTGTTGAATCACGGTTTGTGACTGTCTGTGTTAATGTTGCTGTGTGAACACCATGGGTCAGTGTCAGTGTTGAATCACGGCTTGACCCCTGAGCTGTGTGTCATGGTGTTAGTGTTGTGACTCCCTGAGCTGTGTCATGGTGTCAGTGGTGAATCACGGTGTTGAATCCCTGAGCTGTGTGACTCCGGTGAGTTGAATGTGGATCTGTGGTCATAGTGTCAGTGTTGAATCACGGTTTGTGACTCCCTGAGCTGTGTCATGGTCATGGTGAATTAGTGTTTGAATGGGTCATGGTGTTAGTGTTGAAGACGGTTTGTGACTCCCTGAGCTGTGGGTCATGGTGTCAGTGTGTCATCCCTGAGCTGTGGGTAGTGTTG